AGTTCGAAACCAGCCTGGCCAACATGGTAAAACCCTGTCTCTACTGAAAAAAAAAAAAAATACAAAAATTAGCTGGGCGTGGTGACGTGTGCCTGGAATCACAGCCACTGGGGAGGCTGAGGTGGGACAATGGTTTCAACCCGGGAGGTGGAGGTTGCAGTGAGCCGAGATTGCACCGCTGCACTCTAGCCTGGGCAACAGAGTAAGACTAGCTCTGAAAAAAGAGAGGAGAGAAGAGGAGAGGAAAGGAGGGGAGGGGAGAGAGAGAGAAAGAAAAAGAAGGAAAGAAAGGAAGAGAAACAGAAGGAAGGAGAGAAAGAGAGAGAAAGAGAAGGAAAGAAAAGAAATGAAAGAGAGGGAGGGAGGGAAGGAAGGAAGGAAGGAGGAAGGAGGGGAGGAAGGAAGGAAGGAAGGAAGGCAGGCAGGCAGACAGACATGTTCTTTGGGGCTACGAAGTAGGATAGGAGTGAAAGTTTAATGGGGACGGAGTTTCCGTTTGGGAAGCTGAGGAATTTCTCGAGATGCCTGGTGGAGACAGTTGCACAGCCAAGTGAATGTACTCAACACCACTGAACCGTACACTTACAAAGAGTTAAAATGTGCCTGTAATCCCAGCACTTTGGGAGGCCGGGGCACGGGGATCACCTGAGGTCAGGAGTTCGAGACCAGCCTGGCCAACATGGTGAAACCCCGTCTCTACCTAAAAATACAAAAATTAGCAGGGCATGGTGGCGGGTGCCTGTAGTCCCGGCTACTCGGGAGGCTGAGGCAGGAGAATCGCTTGAACCCAGGAGGGGGAGGCTGCAGTGAGCTGAGATCGCCCCGCTGCATTCCAGCCTGGAGACAGAGTGAGACTCTGTCTCAAAAAAGAAAAAACACTTAAATTGGTAAATTTCATGTTATGCCTATTTTATAATTAATATTTTTAACTAAAAAATTGGTAAATTTCATGTTATGCATATTTTATAATTAATATTTTTAACTAAAAAAAGACTGCTACATGTAAAACATGCTACTTCAGAGTGAGGAGAGAGCATATGAAGTCATCCTTAGGGTCTGGAACTCAATATTGGAAGTGCTGTCTATATCTATTTATTTAGAGACAGAGTCTTGCCCTATTGCCCAGGCTGGAGTGCAGGGGTGGGATCTCTGCTCACTGCAGCCTCCACCTCCTTGGTTCAAGCGATTCTCCTGCCTCAGCCTCCCAAGTAGCTGGGACCACTGGCGTGAGCTACAATGCCCAGCTAAGTTTTGTATTTTTAGTAGAGATGGGGTTTCACCACGTTGGCCACGATGGTCTTGATCTCTTGACTCCCTGATCGACCTGCCTCAGCCTCCCAAAGTGCTGGGGTTACAGGCATGTAACCTAGTCTGTATTTATTTTCACTTGATAACTTTAAAATGTTTCTCTATGTGTGGTGCAGCCTCAGGGACATCCAAAATGGGTACATGTGATGGGTGCACACCTGCAGACGTGCACGAGGGCATAGGCTAGAATGTCTTGCTGTCAAAGGTGTGCACCAAGCCTGGGAATGTGTAGGTGCAGTCAGCACCCGCACGTGACTCTCACAAACTGGTCCAGAGCTCCAGAATCCAGCTGAAAGTCCTGAAGACACAGACGCTGGAGAGGATGTGGAGAAATAGGAATACTTTTACACTGTTGGTGGGAGTGTAAATTAGTTCAACCATTGTGGAAGACAGTGTGGCGATTCCTCAAGGACCTAGGCATAGAAATTCCATTCGACCCAGCAATCCCGTTACTGAGTATATACACAAAGGATTATAAATCGTTCTATTATAAAGATACATGCACACGAATGTTCATGGCAGCACCGTTTACATAGCAAAGACCTGGAACCAACCCATCGCTGATAGACTGGACAAATAAAATGTGGCACATATACACCATGGAATACTATGCAGCCACAAAAACCGATGAGTTTGTGTCCTTTGTAGGGGCATGGATGAATCTGGGAAAGCATCATTCTCAGCAAACGGACACAAAAACACCGCATGTTCTCATTCACAGGCAAGTGTTGAACAATGAGAACACGTGGACACAGGGAGGGGAACATCACACAGTGGGGTAGGTTGAGGGGTGGCAGACTAGGGGGGAAGAGGGGGGTGGGGAGGGATAACACTGGGAGAAATGCCTGATGTAGGTGTTGGGTAGATGGATGCGGCAAACTACAACGGCATATGTGTACCTAGCAACAATCCTGCATGATCTCCACATGTACCCCAGAACCTAAAGCACAATAAAAAAAAAAAACTTAAAAAAAAAAGAAGTCTTAATTGGAGAGAGGACAAGAATGTCATTGTCATGGGGCGTTTGACAAACACCAGCTCTGATCTCCTCCTCCAAATCCCATTCCCAGGAGGAGGTTATGGTATCAGCTCTATGCAGATGTGGGAACTGCTTCTCAGAGAGGGATGGTGGATTCCAGCCAGCATGGGGGCCATGAAGTGGAGGGGTGGGATATCCACACCCACCTGCTTCTCCTCCATGCTGACGCTTGCGCATGCCAGGCCCTGGGAGGTGCCCAGATTTCCACCCCTCCACACTTGGAGAGGCAGAAACCTCTCCTTTGAAGCTTAAGCACCAGTGCTTGGCGGGGGGCCTGCTGTGGATCTCACGGGTATTTTCTTTCTTTTCTTGTTTTGGTCTGGAAGAGAGCGATAACTCAGTCGGAATTTTAATGTGTTCTCCAATTATGCAATTCTAAAATTCTTGAGCAGTTTTTAAATGTTTGGCACAGTGCCGTGTTTGTGGTAGCTTCGTGGCTCTTCAGAGGGAGTCATTCTGCCCTCCAAGGGTATATTTGGAAATGTTTGCAGGCGTTTTAGGTCATCACGATGGAGGCGGAGGAGGCAGGTGCTCCCGGCCCTGGTGGGTGAGTGGCAGCCTACCGTGCCCAGGACAGGCGGCCCCACCACCGAGGGTCATGCCGCCCATGTATCCACAGTGCTGAGGCTGAAAAAGCCTGTTAGCATGAGTGACTGTCTCTCACATTGCTCCTTCTCTCTTCTCCCTTTTCCCCTCCTTCCTTCCTTCCTTTCTCCCATCTGTTTCTGTATCAATCTATAGCTCTCTCTCCCTTAATCTATCTCTCTAATCAATCTATCTACCCACCCATCCATCATCTATCTACATATCTGCTCCATGCATCCATCCATCATGTAACTATCCATCACGTAACTATCGATCCATCTATCCATGATGTATGTATGTATCTAGTCTATCATCTATGTATCTATGTACTCTATCTATCTAGCCTATCAATCAATCATCTATCCACCTACCTACCTATCTAGTCTATCTCTCTATCATCTACCTATCTAGTCCATCTATCTATCCAATCCATCCATCCATAAGGTATCTTCCTACACATCCATCCGTCATCTATCAATCCATCTATCCATCTTTGTATCATTTAAATATCTAGTCTATCTATCTATTCATCTATCATTTAAATATCTATCTATTCATCTATCTATCATGTACCCATCTGTGCCTCTTCATCCCAGACCCAGGGAGATGGAGATGCCTGGCTTCCTGCCCCTTGCCACTCAATGATAGGGAAGACAGGCTGGGGAACCTCTGTCTTCTGTCATCTATGTATCTATCTATGCATTCATCTACCTATCTCATTTATCTATCCATCTATCTATCTACTCTATGTATTTATCTATGTTGCTGTAATCTATCTATTTGTCTATCTAGGTATGTATCCATCCATCCATCATCCATCCATCCATCCATCCATCCATCCATCCATGCATGTATCCATCCATCTACCTATCTCATCTGTCTATTCATCTATCTACTGTATGTATGTATTTATCTAGCTAGCTGTCACCTAGTTATCTATCTACCTATCTGTATCTATATATCTGCCTATCTACACATTCGTCCATCCATTTCTTTTTGTCTTTTTTCTTTATCATCTATTATGTATCTACATGTATCTATCTATATATATCTATTATCTATTTATCTCTGTGTCTATCATCTATCTCTCTGTGTCTATATATCTCTGTGAATCTATGTGTCTGTCTATGTGTGTATCTTCTATTTATATCTATGTGTCTATCCATTTCTATCTGTGCATGTCTCTCTCTCTCTCTCTCTCTTTTTCTAATCTATGTCTGATCTATGATCTATGGAACTGGTTTGCAACCAGGCACAATTTTACTCCCCCAAAGGATGCTTGGTGATGTCCAGAGATATTTTTGATTATCTTGACTCTGGTGCGGAGGGTGAACTTCCTGACATCTGTTGGGTGGAGGCCAGGGACGCTGCTCAATGCCCTCCAGTGCACAGGACAGCCCCACCACAGATACGCATCCAGCCCCAAATGCCAATACTGCCCAGGTGGCAGATACTTTGAGTAGCCAGTAATATCATCCCATAAACGTTCTACATTTTCACATATTCATGAAACAAATTTGTGAAAAACAGAGGGTCTAGGTGCATCTTAGCTAGGCATCTCCCTGGGTCTGGGATGGAGAGGCACAGATTGGTAGATGATAGACACACAGATTGATGGATGGATGGATAGATGATAGAAAGATGGATAGATGGATAGATGGAAAGGTGGATAGATGATGGATAGATGGATGGATGGACAGATACATGATAGGTGGATGGATGCATGGATGGATGCACTAGATAGATAGATAGATAGATAGATAGATAGATTGATAGATGTACTGATAGATGATGATGGATGGATAAACAGATACATAATAGGTGGATGCATGGATGGATATATGGACTAGATAGATGATAGAAAGATGGATGGATTGAAAGATGATGGATGGATGGATGGACTAGATAGATAGACACATAGACGATAGAAAGACAATAGACTAGATAGACACATAGATAATGGAAAGATGATAGACCAGATCAATACATAGATAACAGAAAAATTGCTGCTGTTTACTGCTCCGTCCTGGCCTCCAACGGGGAGTTTATAAACTGCTGAAATGCATCCTTTTTTTTTTTTTTTTTTTTTTGCGTGGCATATGGATGCTTCATTCACCATTTTCCAAACAGAAAGCTGCCATGACTACTGCTTGGTGAGGGTTTGTGTCACTTTTGCAGGGGAATTATTCTGTGTATATAACTTCACTGTGAGACGTGTCCTAACACTGAAGGCATATTTTGTAAGCAATTCCTGTGCTTTTGGCAGCAGCCTGAGCTCTCTTAATCATCCAGGACTGTTTTATGACTTCCTGTAGCCACAGGAAGGGCACGCCACAATGTATGCTGCCTCCTTGCAGGCCCTGAATTCTAAAACATCGATTGCTGTCTCTGACTGTGCTGTGGTACTTATAAAAATTTCCATGGCTATAAAAATGTCAAAGACTTGCAGCAAATGAAGAAACAGAAGTGGATGAATTAATTTCCATTTTGAAGGTTGCTGGGAACATTTCATCCACTTCTTCTCCCTTATCCTTTAGAAATAGGGTGCTGGAGCTTTCAGCGAAGCAGGACTATTGGTAGAAATGAGTTTTAACACCTTCTTGCCTGGGTTTAGGATGCCTGAAGGTGAAAGAAGAAATCAAAGCCACATGAAAGTCATTTATATTCCAGTTTATGACCTGGGATACTTTAAGACCAGCCCAGGAGATGGGGGAAAGAAACTTGGTTCTCAGCCTGGCAAAACTGTGAGATTACATTGACTAGATGTTACTTGTTTCTACACTGAGGAGGATAAAAATTAGCATCGCAGTAAGACAGGCTAAGACCTTCAAGAAGTAGCTATGTTTCTCTGTCTGAGGCATTGACTTGACATGGAAATTAACTACTGGATGGGATTCATTCACTTCTCTATCTACCTACCTATCTAATCTATGTGTGTATCCATCCACCCACCCAAGTCATCTGTTTATTCATCTATCTACTCTATTATTTATTTATCTAGCTGCCTATCATCTATTTATTTACCTATTTCCCTATCTATGTCTATTTATCTACCTATCCATCCATCCATCCATCCATTTTTCTATCATCTATGTATCCATCCGTCTACCTATGTCATCTGTCTATCCAGCTATCTACTCTATGTATTTATCTAGCTAGCTGTCATTAACTATCTATCTCCCTATCTATATCTATTTATCTACCTGTATACCCATCCATCTATTTCTCTACCTATCCATCCGTCTACCCATGTCATCTGTCTATCCATCTATCTACTCTATGTATTTATTTATCTAGCTAGCTATCATCTATCTTCCTATCTATATTTACCTACCTATATGCCCATCCATCCATTTCCCTATCTATCTAATCTATCTATACATCCATCAATGTCATCCGTCTATCCATCTATCTACTCTATGCATTTATTTAGCTATCTATTTATCTCCCTATCTATGTCTATTTATCTACCTATCTGCCCATCCATCCATCTCCCTATGTCACCTATCCATCTGTCTACTTTATGTATTTATTTATGCAGCTTGCTATCATCTATTTATCTACCTCCATAACTATATTTATTTATCTACCTATCTACCCATTCATCCATCTATTTCTCTATCTATCCATCCATCTACCTGTCACCTGTCTACCCATCTACTTTATTTATCTAGCTATCATCTATTTATCTATCTCACTAT